GTGTAAACGGCCGGACGGACGGACGGACGGCCGGACGGCCGGACATACTGACCGATTCTAGAGTGTACTCACTTTTTGAGTACACAAAAACAATGAAAGTGAAGCGAAAATTCCAACATTGCGAAACTGACCTTTATTAATCTGCTTGGTAGTCGTTTAAATATAACGAGTGTAACAAGTTTCTGGAAATATGTCAGACTCTTTCTATTCGAACAGAAAATGATAGAAAGCTAATTCTGTTTTTTAGATAGAGCTTGGTTTCTTCTGCGAAAGTATGCTTCACAGACTTCTATTCATACAGTAGCAGTAAAATTTATTCGGCTTTTATAGATCTCCTAAAAAGTAAGATGTAAACATTTTAAACAGTGAACACATTGTTTATGGGTGTGGGTGTGAGTATTGGTCATTAAATAGGATCATACACACACCCACACCCACACCCACACCCTTGGTACTTTTCGTGTCTAAACATAATAAAAAAAATTTTATTTTTTTTGTTCGTCTTATGTTTCATTGAACAAAGAATAAACTCAATTGTTTTCAAATAAATAAAAAAAACATGAAAACGTCAATGAACAGATTTGACATATCTTGAGTACATTAAAGATATGTTTTTCTTCTTGTTTCTTGGTTCATTTTAAGACTTCTCAAAGTTAAAGTCGAGAAAGAAAAAAAATATTTGGTTTGAAAATGATACATTAATAGTAAAACAGAAGCACCTGTTGAGAAACATCAGCTGCTGGTTTCCATTCCAATAAATGTTTGGCAAAGCTTGTTCTAGTTTTATAATTTTTTAATTTAAATGCTTGATTAAGTACAGATTTAAATGTCATGATTTTATGTATTGGTTGTAATTGTAAATGAGTAAAATAAGCAACTAATTCATATCAACATTTTTCATCATCTTTCGCTAAATCTTCGTTTTTGCCATTGATATTTGTAAACCAGCGATGTATATTCTTTGCATATTTCAATTTATTGTTAATCTTGAAATTTTTCATTTTTTGCTAAACGATGTTCGATTTGAAGACGTCCAAGTAATTCTTCTGGTTTCAATCCAACTGCTGGATAAAATAATTCTGGTGAATGTACATCACACCTAAATAATTAAAATAAACATTTCAAAAATATTTATTAAATAAACAAATAAATATAAACGAATATCTTACTGAATATGTATCTAATGATAGTAATGATGAAAGTGTTGTAAAAGCTGTACGTGAACGTGAACATATTTGAATAAAAACATACAAGATCAGGGGATAATTCAATTTCAGTATCACCCCACCTTTCACTTTGTTTATCATTTGTCAGATCTTTACCACTTGTTACTATTTTCATCAATATGAAGACTTGCATCAAATTTTACTGTTATGTTTGACATTAAATATGCTTTGATTTTTGTTGACTTATTGAACATGATGGTAAAATGAATTCAGCATTTGGATTGATTGCAGGTAACTAAAAAGAAACAAATAGTTTATTTTGAATGATTAACTTTAGCTCAAAATTAATATGGATTAAATGTATGTTTACCTTAATATTTCATATGTAAAATTTAAACAAAGAACAAGTAATAATAACTCTGTTGAAGTCGCACTCTACCGGCTTATTCCATTTCTGAAATAGAATATGAAAAATCTTCTTTTTGTTTTAATCTACATTCCAATGAATATCAATCAGAGAAAATAAACTAAATTAACTGTGATACGATGATTAATTGAAATATTTAAAAAATGTTATCATTCAATATCACAATAAACTTCTTTATACAGCAGTACAGGAAAATCTTTCGATAAATGACGTGTTGAATACAAATAAAAATTGTTTCAAATTCATTTAATATCTCAAAAAATTGGCATATTTACATGAAAACCTATAACTAGTTTTCAAGACTTTCAATTGAAGATATTAAAAAACGAAAAATAAGATGATTCTATTGTATAAATAAATGCGAAAACCTCGGATTTAAATCCGAGTGTTATGTGTACTTCAAAAAGTGAAAAGGTATATTCACTGTGTTTTTTATCACTAAATTGCAAGGAG